TTATAACTTTGAACAAAAAAACTAATGGAAAAATAAAATTAAAAATTTCCAAAACCTCTCTATAATGTGTGATTTCGGAGTATAACTTTATCTGGAATAATTTCATCAGCTGTAATTTTTAAAGTAACTTTTTATTAAGAAGACTGGTTTGATCGGCGGCTTTAAAAGAAAAAAGGAATGAAAGAAGGATAATTAAATCTGCCACATTTTGCGAAATTACTCTTCATTCGTCGCCGATGATGCGGTCGCTATTTCAGGCTGGCACGGGCCTTAACAAGATGAGATTTAGAGCGTCCCAGGTGGCAGACGTTGGGCCCTAGCAGTGGCAGTTTATATCGTGTACCTCGACGGAGTTCCCAGACCATTTAACCGGGACGTAAATGTTAAAAGCCCGCCGTCTCTCCCTTTACGTTCCGCGCGTATCCGCAAACATTACGACCGGTTTTACATTCAAGTTTCGACGCATTCGAGATCAGCGGAGTGATAGCTGGAGAAAAAAATGCGATGCATACTTCTAAAGCATCGCGAAGAAAAAACGCAGAGCAGAAATTACTGCGAAGAAACGGCTCGTTCGAATCGCCATCGTTTCACGATGATAGAGTTTTTTCATCCGCTGGTCTCGTAATCGGATTTAGAAAAGAATTCATAGAACCACCACCTATCATGCATTAACTTTTTTTATAGAAACGAAACGTGAAATTAATAACAAAATAGATTTCTATAAATATTGTACGTTAATTTGATGATGCCAGAGGAAGCATGCACTTTCATTATACAGTTCGATTATTGTTATCGATATATTACTTGTCGAATAATATTAATATTATAAAATATTAATCCTAATACTAAATACAAAAACCCGCAAAATAATTACGCTGTTAATTAAACTGCCCAGAGCTTATATTGCAATTCATTAAAATTATCGTACGTTAACTCGAGATCCCTAATATAATGAGGAAAAACTACAAAGAAAACTCCATAAGTTCAATCCTTTTTTTCTGCGCGACACATTCTTGTTCAAGGATCATTAAGAATTTTCGCAAGAACGCCGACTAATGGTATCGGCTGGGATTACAAAGTTTTTAGAGCGCAGCACTGTATTCTGCACCGAGAATACGCGCCTAAACACCTGCACCCCTTTCTCACAACTCTCCCAGGACGCAACCTTTCTTCTCTTTCCCGCGGGGTCGCGCGAAGAAGTTTCCGCTCCGCGAGGGCAGACTTTTCGCGGCATTTAGCCGCCTCGGCTCAGGAGATCGTAAAGTTAAATATCGGAGGAGGATTTCTAAGGCGGAGAGACGCGAGAGGGGGTGGAAGAAACACCACCGCCACGTAAATTGGCTTCGCCGCCGGAGGCGGTCGGTTAATCGCGCGAGAAGGTCGCGGCGACCGAGCAACAAACCGGGAACAAATAAAGAACAAAGTTAAAATTCAATTCGGCCGGAAGAAACAATCGAAGTCCTGAACACAAGAACTGGGGAAACCGCATTTGCGATTGTTTCAGCAAAGTTAGGAGAAATCCAGGGAGACACATGGAAATTTCATGAAGCTCTCTTTGTCTTAAAAAGAAGCGGAATAAAATTAACAGTAAAATGTACATCGGAATATGTGTGACTTTTTACTTATTTAGATGCAAGTACATTCTCGAAAAAGTATCTGTACATAATTTATGTCGTTAATCTCCAATTTATTATTAATATACTTCAACGTTGTAAGAAACATAAAATAATATAATAATAAATATGAAAATATATAAATACAGAGGCAAATAAGAATTTCAAAGCAATGCCTAATCAGTTTTGAGAAAATAAAACAAACGCTTTCCTCCAAAGCATCGTCGGATTATATCCAGTAGAACAAGTCAAGCTTTGATCAGACTTCGGCAAAGCGCGCACAACGCATAGAACGTACAGAATCCAATAAACTCATTCGCGTCGTTAAAATTTCAAAGTACAGCGTAAAATTAAATAATTAAAATTTCAAGGTTTAAAACAACTTATATAAACGGACTTTGATATGTAATTCGCTTCCCACTAATCCCATTTCTACCAATGTAGTTTAATTTTAATCTTGATTAAACTAACTCTTCATCTTTTTCAAGAGTTAGAAAAAGATGAAGAGTAAGTTGAACTTAAATTAAAGTTAATTTACGTTGGTAGAAACGGGCATTAATCACATAGTGAAACTCGAGTGCAGAGTTAAATGTTTATCTCTCTGGCTCGTATTTTCATCAAGTCGAATTAGTCATTTCACGGTTCATCCGGATTTCTTGAGATAAGTGTCGGTCCGTATAACAAGCATTTTCTTCTTATATACATATAACACAAATCATACGATACCCTAACAGATCGAAGGATTCGTCTGAGCAATAAGTAAGCTCCAGGTGGCTGGCTTTGACGCGGGTTAATCTCTCGAGCTGATTACAAGTCGCGAACAACCAGACACAAATCCAGTTCCGCTTCTGCCAAAACCGTCGGTGTAAGCCTACTTACACACGGCTGAACATGTAGCCGGCCAATCGTCGATTGGTAATCCGGGAATGTTTTCTGCCCGGTCCATTATCGGCTTAGTGCGGCTCCCGCGCCACTCTCTCCGTTTCGCAACGACCTGATTCCACGTGAGAAAAAAGGAAACGTCACCCTATATTCCAGACGCTCTGGATAAATCGATAGCGTTAAAGATAGTTTCTTTACACGCCATTTCGCATTCGCGATTCCTCAAAAGGGAATTCGCAAGAGAAACGCAAAAATCCTCTATGCCGCGATCGACATAATGTGAATCCTGCAAACGTTTTTTCAGTAATAATTTTAATTTGTAAACTATATTTTTCGACAATTTTTGGAATATAAAACAAATCGTACTGCTGTCTGTTTTTCATGACTGTTCATATTTTCCGGCAATTTCAATTTATCATTGCACTCATTCAAAGAGACACTCATTCAGTGAGACAATAAAAATTTGTCACGAACGCAAATAAAAATTTATTAGCAAAGAATGTGTTTGATGCTCGAATTTGTTTGCTGCTCGTTTTATCAATGTAAAAATAATATCGTCGGTTAAGGATGGCGTGGCAAGCGTAAACATCCTGTTTTCACAAACTTATGAAAGAAAGACTGGCTTTCGTGTATGTACACCATCATCACCGAGAATATTATTCGCTGCGCTATTGAGCTCGTTTAAAAATGCATGGGCCACTCAACCCGAACCGGAAGCACTTCAGTTATCCTGTTATCCAGTATCCTCAGGGATAAGGCTCGTCCGCCCTTAATGATGACCAGCAATATTTGCTCTTTTGTTTTCCCACCAAGAGGAAAATAGTGCGCCGTCTCGTGCATTAGCGCGCTCCTCGCAAGATTACGAGGCGTTTTATTTTCATGAACGAGGAAATTACACGTGAAAATAATAAAAAAGGTCATACGTTACAATTAAATGATCTTTCGATCTCCTTTTCGGCTTAAGATTACGAAGCATTATTTTCCGAAGTCGTAATCTTTTGTTATATTGTAAAAGTAAATTGATCACGAAGAAGAAGCGAAAGATAATCCAATAATAGAATTTTATAGAATAATCAAACTGATAGAGCTTTAGATTTGTATTCACACTTCATCTTAAGACATAAATGCGTGCATTTATCGATAAAAATGAAATGTGAATATGGACCTAAAGCTTTACAAAAATATAAAACTATGAATTTGATTATTCTATATTCTATAAGAATTTTTTATTTATTTCTTAGGTTCTATGAATACATGTAACATAAACTATATGCTAAATGCACGCATTTATTATTGTAATACAAAATAAAGTGTGAATACGCAGATCTAAAGTTCTACAAAAACGTAAGACTATCAATTTAATTATACTATAAAATTCTTTTATTTATTTCTTATATTCTTGACATATGTATACATTATGTGCTAAATACGCGCATTTGTCGACGAAAGTGAGATATGAAGAAGTTCTGCAAAAATATAAGACTATCAATTCTATTATTCCATAAAATTCTTTTATTTGATTATCTCTCACTTCTTCGTGATAAATTTACTTTTATACAACGCGTATTTACATGAATCTGCATACATAAACCTTGTTATCGCGGTGCGATGTTTAGAACCGCTCCAATTTAATTCACTACCTTCCAAGTATTCGGCGTGCGATAACAAAGCAAAGTGTCGATTCCGCGACAGGTGCAATTAGCGTCTTACGAATATCGCGCAAAGTGTATTACTATGTACCAGGCAAAATCCCGACAATTCTGGTGGTCGCGGCAAGGAGATTATTCTATAATTTTAACAATCAATTATTTAGAATTCAGTTATCTCGCCGAGGCTACCGGCGTATATTCAATTTTAAAACTGCAAACAGTCGCCGGAGTACCGTTCGCAACGAGGCACTCAATATGTAAAGCGCGATGTAACTTCGCCGCGGCCGCAACTCCGCGCGCCGCGCGGATTAATCAAGCGGAATTCACGCCCGACTTGTAAACGTTGATCAAATATCCGTGAGCGAGTTAACGACCGCGGGATTGTCTGTGAAATTCGACTAATTCAACTCTCGGTGCGCGCGCGATGTTTTTCGGCGACGGCCTCCGTCGAAGTTAAATTACGTTAGTCCTTTCGTTTCCCTGCGTCCTCCAATTAGGGACACTTTCCCTTCATTGGCAACACGCGAACACACAGTTTGCATGCGAAGTTATATTTTTCTTTTGTTTTCATAATTTTACGACAGTCTGCGAGTTCTCTCTCTCTCTCTCTCTCTCTCTAAAAAATTCTCAAAAAAAATTCCTTCAACACGCCGCAGTCACATAGAAAAATATCGTGAAAAATGTCCATCCCTTCCTAACATACATACGCGTATGTACTTGAATATGTATATAATTCATCGTCTCATTACACGCGATACTGCATTCAACGTACCGACTGCGACCACTTTCAATATAAAACGAAGAAATAATAAATGAGCCGGCCGTCACGTACCGGGTGGGACGATTGCTCACTCACCTGATAGAGTATGTCGAGAGTGATCGGATAGAGCAGGTGCTCCACGATGACTCGGAGTACGGTGTTGGGTCCGCCCTGAGTCTCGCCAGGTCCAGACACCTGATTTTGTCCAGCAATTGCGACCTGGTTGTTCGAATTCTGTAACAGAGAAGAAAAGTGGAGACGAATTAAGCAAACTTCGAAGGAACAAACTAATTGCGATCGACGTTTACGCGTCGCCCGAAGTACTGAAGATACAAATTGCCAAAGTTCCGAATGGTACAAATTTTACTTTACAGACGAAGTGATTTTCGTACTTGGTTTTTTTTTGTATTTTTAGGACTTCGTATAGAGGCGAATAATTGAAGACTTATTTACATTAATTGTTTTATTGTTAGCACAATGTAATAATAATAATAATAATAATATGTTATAATAATAGAAGTCTATGTACAATAAGCCTTTAATTAGATATTGTATAATAATATAATAGGAATTTTAATAATTGATATAGCTATTTTAAAATCCAACACAGCTGAAGGTCTTTAAAAGCATCGATATAAAAATGCTCTGTTTCCGTTATGCAATATACGTATCACGATTATTAATATCGAACGAAATTTAAAGCATATATTAAATTGTTAATGAAATAAATATCAAAGCTTTTTTACTTTTGTATGTGAGAAATTATTTGCAGTGTCTGAAATTGGAACGCTTTCATTGCAGAGGAATAAAAAAGTTTTCTGGAAATAACAAAAACTTTTGACTTTATCTTCAAATTGTAACACAAATGAAGATTTTATTTTATACATAATTTTTTAAATCATAGTATTAAAAAAAGCTATTGTGTCGGGGAAGTGAAATAATTGGAAATTTCCTGGTTTAAAGAATACATCATGAATGACCTTACTGACTTCGATGCGATGCATGATCCTCCTTCCTCGCACGATATACAGATCACGGAAATTCTCTCTCGGCGTGTCTGCTGAGCGTGATGAAGCGGAATAGAAAATGATTTCTTTGAAGCGAGAAGCAGAAAGAGCGAGCGTCAGAAGAAAAACGGAGAGAAATGCGGGAGAGCAAACGAAAATAGATGCAAGAGTATTAAAATTGGACGCATACTAAGTGTAAAAACGAGGAGATATTATACTTTGTAAGTGAGAGCCGTATAATGGACGATGGCGCTGGTGGGTTATTAAAAGGAACCGTGTCTTTCTGAGCCTCGCTGAATGAAACATCCGGTAAATTCGACCCTAATATTAGATCTCGAAAGAGAAGTGAATTGGAAAAGAAATTGTGGCAACGTAATGTGCAAATTCTATAATAATCAATTTATAAGATTTTGTTTTATCAATTTACAGGACAATAGTTGCCAGGTAATTATTTGACATACATTCTGACTAGATAAATAATTGAATGTGAAACACATTTAACATAGAATATATAAATATATATCTTCACTTTGAGAAGATTTAAGGTAATATTTCTTCGCTGCCAAAAATTTATTTATCAAAATATCTAAATATTTTTTAGACTAAAAATATATCTATGTAATTTTCTAAAGATAAGTCTTTCAATTAATTTAAGACCGTGCTAGAAATTTGACGTGGGTTCATTCTTTCCATCTTTCGCACGTACGAAATGCGTCTCGCGAACTGTCGCCGTTTTCATCAGCTGCCGCTGCCGGTAAAGCTGTCAAAGTGAACTTTAAGGGGATACGACGCGGCAAGCATTAGCATAAAATGCTAAAGAAACGCGCCACATTAGAATTTCGATGTAGATTAAAGCGCGGCACCCGCCCGAGCGAGGCTCCTAAATCTGACTTCGTAAAAATAACTTCTCTCGAGCGTATCCTAACGAAATTTCCACGGCGACGACGCGAAATGATCTCGTTTCCTAGTTCACACAGAGTCGCTGGATAGCTAAATTTTTAGACGTAAATAACGAGCTGATTATTAGATAGACACAAAGATTTTCTTATAAATATGCGTTTAAGTGAAAATTAATTTTAAGCTATACTTTATGTAAAGCATTCATATCAGATTTCAACTGAGATCGGATTGGAATTTCATCAATCAAAGCAAAATTAATTAAATTGATATCAATTTTCTTTCTTCTGATTAGCTAAATTCTAATCACACAACTTTAATTTCTGGTCTGATACGAGTTTAATATAACCTCATAGATTTTTTATAGATAGATATAAGAATATCTTTAACAAATAAATAGAAGAAGAACAGGATATAAAGATGAACTGATTATTATTTATAATTCATGTTACTATCTTCCCCATACATGGGAAGCCATTACGGATAAGATTGGAATAAAGAAACACACGCTTCGCGTAGCAATTTCCATGATGATATTTTTAACCTGAGAGTAAGAACAATGAGAAAAAATATAATAATAATAAATATTTATTTGAATAGTACCAATTAAACACTTACAGTAATAAATATTTATTTTAAAAAAATAGTTAAATAAAATTAATTTTCCTATACTAAATATATTTTCATATTTAGTTGGTACTATTCAAACAAATGATCTATTAAAATTTAGTATATTCTTTCTTGTAAAAAATTATTATTTTTTTACGTAAACAACAATCACCTCATGTTTTTACATTTTAATTAAAATTACTGTTATTACAATGTATTGAATATTATTGATTGTTTTCCGATTTATTAGCGTTTGAGAATATTATGGATATTAATTTAATCATGATTTTCTGAAAAAAGTAAATAGAAATCAAACAAATATTAAACGAAATAAGCGCGTTAAATAATTTATATATTATAACAATATTAAAAAAAAAAGGATTTTATTAATGTAACGCTTTTTTGTTGCAAATTTTCAAATTGCATATTTAAAGGTTCATAAAAAATAATTATTAAAAAAGAAAAATAATATCCATGCAAAATATTTTACGACAATTCGCAATTTCACGTCGCAAAAATACTCCAGGTGACTATTCCCGTATTAAATGGAGACGATCGACCGAAGGCAATTTGGAATTGTTGAATTGGACACGTATGGTATATAAAATTCACATCGAAATATTCAAACATTGTAGCTCATACCGTCTATTTATGTCTTTATGACATTTTAGTTATTTCACTTGCTTTAAGTAATACGTGTTCTTACATAATACTTATTGTGTTTCGGAAGATCCGGATTTGATTTTCTGAAGTAATATTTTTCACAACAAACTGTTTGCTGTTTTTAAAGTGCTTATTAGTATCAATATAATTATTAAACTGGTTGGCAATTTAATTTATAATATACTAGTTTTGTTTATGATTGTATTTCAAGACTAAAAATATGCCGACGCGCAGTTGCAAAATTATATATGTATATAAAATTCACACCAAAATATTCAAACAAAGAGATCTATCTTATATCGAGTAAGCTTTCGTTATTTAGTTGTGTTTTCACATTTTACGATCTTGTGACATTTTGAAACGATAAACAAGAAAAGGCTGACACAATTAAGAACATGTAATTGCAATATCATCTTCACAGAAGAAATGTAATCGATATGCTGTGCTCAGAAGATGCAACGTTTAACCGCAATGTCTTGAGCTCAAAAACACGACGCATTGAAAAAGGACATAAAAGCGAGAAGTAAAACCAAGCTACAGAATATAGTTCTTCAGCAGCAAATGATGATCGCAACAATTCGAAAGAAATAACCCGAGTGCACGGCGAAGGAGTGAAATTCTATTTCAAGAGACGCTTTTAACGTAAGAATTTTCATTTTTTTTTTGTAGCGATGTTGAACTACATGTTCTCAAGCGGATTAAAAAATTAAAAATCCAGATGTCTTTTTACAGTCCTTAAATATTTGTTATGAAAAAAACATAAGTTCAATAATGTCTTTTCTTTTAACTTCATAATCACATCTTAAGGTGTATCAAGAAAAAAAAAAGAAGAGATCAGGGAAAAAGAAATATGTTGCACATATAAAAACGCTTCATAACTCGCAGGTATATTTCAAATTTTCAAAAAAGGAAAAAAGGTTAACAGCAACGTGTGAACCATTCTTTATGTAAAAAGTTATGCTGAATCGTTTCTCGCAGACAGTATACCAAGGCTAAATGAATAGTTAAATGGCCAGTGTTTCCTTCGCTGCGCGCGTTAGATTTTACACGGAATTTACGAGCATGCTAAACCTCGGCTCATCTCGTGCCCTCGTTTCTTCACACCAACCAACCATCGCTTGTAACAAACGCTTCCGTTTTTGACGGCTGCGTTCGAGCGCTAGTTTTTAATGCGTAATTCAGTTACACTTCGACATCATGCGTGCATCATCGTTTAATTACGATCGTTTAATTATGTAAAGCAGATCGAGACTTCGGCGGATATTATTACTTCCTACCGTACTCGCTAATAATTTTATGAGCAATTTTATGGAAGTTTGCAACGTGCATTCGCGGTTTAGTCGAGTTTTCGAATCAGATCCGAAACGGCTTCCGGCCTTGTTCTGCAATGTTGATGATGTATAAGTGTTTCTAACTGCAAACGTAAATGTTTTACGAAAGAACTGGACGTGGATTAAGCGGGATAAAAGTAGTCCAATTAAAATGGACGAGAGCGACTGGAAATGTCAAGAATAATCTGAACGAGATCGAGATGCGGCAAATGTTGCCTCATAAAAAATTAAAGATAATTAAAGCATAGCTACCTTGATTTTTAATTTTGCGCTTACTTGCGATATGAATAATTTGCAACAAATGTTAACGGATCCATTTCACCGTTAAATCGCTCTAACATGAAATTAGTTTCGTTTTAGCCTTTAGAGATATAAATAAAGTGGCTCGGCAAAATTCATGTCCTGATGACCCTTCGCGACGGATGATATTCGAGATCGCCGCACTTTCTTAAGACGGAAGGATTAATTTTGACGTCTCGGTATCGAGAGAAAAGAAAGCGAGAAAGACAGACAGGGGAGACGAGAGAAAGTTCAGCCAGCTGCTAATTAATTAGCCTGACAAACGTTAACTGACGGCTGTTTCCTCTCCGGTCGGGTTTCTGTCCGCCGGCCGTAAGGATGGCGTGCGGCCGGCCATTTTATCCGGGAATTAATCCTAAAAGTTGTCGGCGCGGCATACATCCCCGACTTCTCGCACTCCACCGTTCCATCTCCGTTTCCCATCTTT